CATGTAAATTTAATTGAACTGTGTTTCACAAAAAAGAAATAACTTTAAAATTCTAAAATAAAAAACCTCAAAATGTTACAAAAATTGCATAAAATAACAAATAAATTTAATTATGAGAAAATCTGCCGATCATTATTTTCTTTTTCTTTCGCCTCTGTTGTCTTTAGAAGGTTTTAAAGACAAGCTCTGATTTTGCAATATAGTTTTTACATAAATTTTAGGGTTAAAATTGTCTTGAAGTTTTCCCATTTAAGGAGCTTAGAATTAATCTGAAGTGTGATGTACAGTCAAAGGTATTGTTCTTCGCGTTGAAAGTTTATTTGGGTTAAAAGCGACAGCCTTCATGTTGACTGTAGTTTCCTTACACAATTAGAAATTTCTTTATGCAGTTTTCCCGTTAAAATTTATTTTGTTTCATGCTTTATTACAAAATTTAATGTTATCAAAATAAGTATGATTATGATACGTGAGATATGTGTTTTTCTTGGAATAAATAAATAAGCAAACAAAAAGAACAAAGGGCTCACAAATTACAGTTAAATTAAACAGAGGACTCGTGGGAGTCTCCTGCAGGTTACCAATGGGTATTTCTGACTGGGCAAATAAATATTTTGATAATGAAACTAAGATACAACATCATTTTTGCTGAAACAAAAGTTCAGTTTTACTTCCTATTTTGGTATGTTAAACTTAGTACACAAACATTTTTGAACTATTAAAGAAATGATAATTTTGTAAAATTTTTCTACGTACGTGGTACCTTATTCTTATACAGATGGGGATAGGCAGTGAGGCCAATATTCCATGGGTCCCCCTGTTCGACTTATTCGAGGTTTTATATTAAGGAAAGTTGTATGAATAAATATGAAACGCTTATTTAAATCGAAACAGAATCTGTAATTTTAAGAGTTTATTTTTATTTTGAAACAGACGAAATTCATCGAAATTTCGAAGTAATAATTTGTATTGTATTAGCTGCTAGCTCGCATTTAAATTATACATAAGGCAAACCACGATATTAATGAAGAATAATAAAATATATGTTATGGAATAAGCTCTTTTTATATACTTTTCCAATTAAATCTATAGAATTACTTCTCGGATGCATCAATAATAATTCTCTTTAATATATTCCTGAATAAATTTCTTATTAGTACTTAAAGATAAATAAAAATTTTTGCATTGTTTAATGCAGAACAAGAAATGACACCTTTATAATTTGCTTGTAAAAAATACTTTTCTTCAACAAATCTGAGAAAGCATCTGTTAAAAAGCATATAACGTTTTTAGATTTCGTTATGATGTAGACAGAACTTTGTTTCCCATACTGTTACGCTGTGCTGGAAAAGCGAAAGCTACATTTTTGTCAAGAATTAATTTTTGTAAAGAGGCGTTCCTTTTCTAATTATGTATTTCGTGTGCTTCCGTAGCGGATGAGAGCATTACAAATCAATTAGCGATGGAACCAGCCTTGCGGAAATTGCTTGCTGTTCAGAACGCCTGCGAACTCTTAAATTGATTAGCATAGAAGATTTGTTTGAAAGAAAACTACTATCAATCCTGCAGTTTTCATGGTCCGCAATGCTCGATTTTAATATGATGGATACAAAAGATAAGATTATTAAACAAAAAAAGAATGACATTAGTGACAAAGTGGAGGAATAATATGGTTCGGTTAATCGTAGAACGATAGATATTTTTTCTGAAATAGGCAGTATTTTGAGGAAAAGATGCTTCAGAAATAAACATGAACATAAACAAAGCGTTATTTGAATTGAAAAGAAGTCCAGTTTTTGTTTTTATGATTACAATTCTTTTGGTAGTGTTACTAACATAATTTTTAAGATGTCTTATTTCGAAATATTTCTCATATTTTTAGTACGAACAGCTGTCTTATTCCAAGCGATTTGAAGCGATGTCTGTTCCATGCGGCAAGAAAAGATACTACAAATATTTTTTGAATGTACTGAGGAAAATTCCTACCTTTAATGTTAATATGAATATAAAAGGAAATGAAAATTTTAATGTTATTTTAAACCTACAATTGTATTTTCCAACACTATTTTTTACCGCAGCTTTTAACACATACATCAAATGGTTAAAAAACAGTACGTCGAATTTCCTTTACTCTTAGTGCAAGTTAATGTATTAATTAAACATAATAACAAAATTAATAAAATCAATTTTCTCAATGATATGCAGAGACAAATATGTACAGATTTACAAAATGGCAGCAAAATAGCATGTCAAATTTCAATGCAACTATTTCTAAACGTCAAAAAACTATTTTCAAATGAACGATAAAGTCCATATTAAAAAAAAGAAGGAACCACTGTAATGAAATAAGTTGACATATGTTAAATAACAATAACAACAAAAACAGTAAGATTAATAAACAAGATTTCATAGCAAACAATTATTAGCACCGAGTAACACTTAGTTTCAGCCGATATTCACATTAAATCGAAAGTATAAATTTCATAAAGGGGAGGGGTATGAAAAAAATTAATTTTAGTTGCCCTAAAATTTATTCTAAAATCTATCCCTAAAATATTGTAAATTCTCCTTATAATAGCAAAATTAAGAAAAGTAGCCATTACAATAGATCGTAGTAAAGAACATTGTATCTGATGATATATAAATAATAAATCAAAGAATAATAAAAAGACATAACACTTACGAAAAAACGATCAACTTTTAAAATAAAACTGTCTGAAACGACAGCAGAAGTCTAAAAATAAGATAAAAGTTAAAATAAAATCAAGAGAAATTCCGCACTTAAAATTGCATCATGCTAGTATAGGAAAAGCATAAAACTTCATTCAGTAGAAAACATAAAAATTCAAACGATAGGCAAGCCGAAGAAGTGGAAACATGATTAAGAACAAAATTATAGATAATTCAGGAAGGAAACCTAAAAGGTAGAGAATGAGATTTGTGATACTAAATAAGTAATGAACGTACGAAGAAAGTTATTTTTAGAAAACACATAAAATACCCTAACCTTAGTCTTACCACATAGCTTATTTTATGTATAAAAGAGCTTCTTAAAGTGGCGGCCTCTTAAAGTGGCCACAACCTCTCAAGAGAACTTTCGGCTCTCCGCATATTTAGAATGCCCCCATGCCGCACAGACACTATACATTTACAAACATCCATGTCATCTCCAGCATTCGAATCCGGGCTCTTCGGTAAGACAGTCAGCGTCGCTAACCACTAACCTAGTTTGGCAGCTACTGATTCTAATGATGCTTTAAAGACTGGTATTGAGGGCGGGGAAACTTGTGCCAGTTCTCAGTCACAGAATTCATCCGACTTCTAACATTTACCAAAAACCAATTCAGTAAAACTTGTGGTGTCATTAGAATATCTTTTAACATCTTATGAAGAATCTGTCTTATCATGGTAAACAAATGAAGAATTTCAGGATAAAAATTAGCACAAATAATCATGGTCTGTGCTAATTTTTACGTTAAACTTCTTCATTTCTTCACTATTAAACTACACAAAATGATTTTACGAAGTGCAAAATATGCTTTTTTTTAATATTTAGAAAGAGGACTTCATAACTGTTCTTAGTTAAAGCCAACGGCAATAATAAAATGATAATGGCTGTAGACAGCATTAGGATTCAAGAAGTAAGAAGACAAACGTAAAGAATGAGCATTACAGCAGATGAAATTCGTCAATTTGAAAGCATTTCGCATTTCTAGATCTTATAAATTTGAAGCGGAAAATCTTCCATTACTAAAGAACTATTCTATTGGCGAGCTAGCAGTGAAATGAATTCCTAAATAATTAATCTTAAACCTTGCTTGTTTTAGGAAATAGGATGTTTTTTAGCTCATTTCTGTTTCAATTTAACAGAAATGAAATTAAAGGAACATTTCTTACGTATTTGTTTGCAGTTAAATGCACAGTAGAATTATTCATCAAGAATTTATGTTTGTTATTTTTTATATGATTCATTTGTAGAGCAATCATTTTACTAACATATTAATAACTTGAATTCCTGAGTTTAAACCTATTATTTTTAAGTCTTCGGTGAGATGATATATTTTTATATGTTATTAACATATGTACCCTGTGCTTAATTCTATATATCTACCATAAATTTGGAAAACTAAATAGTAATATTATTTATTTAAAAGTTAAGTATGTCACGAATCTAGGCATGCAAGTAAAAATATTTTTATTTGAAATAAGTTTTTATTTTAATCCATGGACTGTAGTAAATTAAATTCATCCGCTGAAATTAAATTAATGAACGGCATATTTGCTTAACTTTTAAGTAAGTTCAACATTTAAAAATTTCATATCCGAATGCAGGGAAAAAAGCATTTTGTGAATTAAGAGTAAAACTCTTTTGAGATACACATATAAACATGTTAGGGTACATATCTTGCTTTTATAACTAGTGAAGCAATTTCGAAAAACGGAAGTGAAAAACTTAGTTTTTGACTAAGTTCAAACTGACAGCCATTATTAAAGAAAATTATAAAGTGATGTTATCCGCTGACATTTCTGCCACATTTTTTTATTTAAACTTTTTCTTGAGATATATTTGATTTAGACTGGCTCACCAATGTAAAGTAAACATCAATGAGAGTTATTTGAGTTCACTCTTTCCATCGCATTATGCAAACACTGTTAAGCGAAGTACCTATCCTGTTAGCACATGAAATTTTCAGAGTTCTTCCGATTGAAGTGTAAACTATATTAAGTTATTCGAAATAACCTGGTTAATGAGCAGAATTCTCAATAATGTTAAATTAAATCTTATGAAGGAATTTATGAAGTTTTATGAAATAAGTAAATATGAGAATGCTTTTGTTAATCGAATAAAAGCGCATTTACTTTCTTGAACTATCATTTGGTACAGAGAAATAAAATTTTAGTAACTGTAATTTTCAGACTTTTAAATTTAGCAATAAAAAATATGCATGTTATTGATTCTCAATTTCAACAGCTGTATGAAAACAAAAGCTTATCTCATCCAGATGCTTACCCAATCCAAGACGTTTTGTATGAATGGAAGGGGCCGAAAGCTGTTTCTCGCTCAGATGATGTTGTATTGTCCCAGTATGATTTCGTAAATATCACTCTAAAGCATCGTGATAATGTGGTGAAAGTTGGTGGTAAGTAACATGTGATCACATAAAATAGAATTATTTTTTATTTTATTATTCTTGTATATTTATTTACTTTTACTTTTATGTATAATATTAATGCAGGGTAAATTTTCCTTCTGCGTGTCACATAAAAATTTTTATTATTGAATGCAAAAATAACTGAGTGTTTTTGTCCGATGGGTTGTGACAGTAAACCCAAATTAAAACAATTAATTCAATTCCTCATTAAATTTCAAGTTTGATCGAAGCTTTTAAGATTTTCTTTCAAAAACATGAAAATGAATCAATATGGGAACAAAAAGGTGTTTAGAAAATAATTAAATACTGAAAAAAAAAAGCAAGTGTGCTGTTACATACTGATAAGGAACTGCAGATTCGTGGACAGTATGCTACTCGTAAAATCCTTTTCTATAGTCCTTGGCAATATTAACAAAATTCATTATTATTAATAAACATGAACTTCATAGTGCGTATATATTTACATATGTTTTTTCTGATAATGTACAGCGAACAAATTACATTGCAGATGAAGATTTCTGCTATTATATAGATGAAAACTGACTTTCTTGCTTCCCATGAGCAACCACAATATAATCATCAATTTACGTTACCTTTTAACTTTCATTACTTTATTTTGCATTAAAATTTAACTTCACAGTGTACTCATTAGCTTATATTACTCTGAAATTTAAAGATATAAACATTAAAAAATGTATTTAAAATAGCATTTGGCATTTCTTACGCACGAAATATTTAGTCTCAGAGGGGCTCTATCAGCAAAATTCCTTACAGAGGTAATTTGAAATTAATATATATACTATTTGATAATAATCAGTATTAGTTATTCCAGGATATATTCCAAACTATTGCTAAATAAACTATATTGGGTTATTCTTGCCGCCAGTGCATATCTCAACTGACCCTGGTATGCACAGAAGTTGGCCGCTACTCTTGCAAAGGATGCTAAGTCTTTAAATACTATATTTCTGTGCTTAGCAAAAGTAAGTGTTGCTAGGCGACCGCAGACGATTCCAATCGAAAGTTTGATATTTTTAACCATTACTTCTTCAGAACATTTTGCCATTTTAGCGTGATTTGTGTTGCTTACAGTGAATTGTAAAATTCTTCTTATGTACAAATATAATATATATCCTAAGTCGCTCTTCCGAGACAGGACTAGTAGAACGAGAGATATAAAACTGCCCCCCCCTTTTTAGCCCAAAGGGCGTTAGCCCAGAAGGACTATTAATTTCGTTTTGACAATTCACTATAAACAGCGAATCACTTTTCAAATTGTTGCCACCAAATATTATCGCCCTGTGTTATATTTAAAGAAATTAAATAATGAAGAATCTGCATAAATGTATCTATGTTTCTCGCATTGTGATAAAACAACGGTACCTAGAGCCATCAAATTTTGAATAACGTAATCTTTCACCGAATATGGGCATCTGGAAGCCCTAATTTAGAATCTGAAATTTGTTTTATTATCGACTTCATATTTTGTCAGACATTTAAGAATTTTTGATTAACAAACTCAACAATTTCAAAGCCAGGAATGGCAACACCGTAAGGGGAAAACGAACATTTTTTATCTCCAGCGCACGAGACTGTGTATGGAAATTCTAAAGATGCACTCATTTTAAAATTATTTTTCGATATTGTGTTGAATTGAATTTTATGGTTTAAGTGACATTATATTTAAAATGGTATTTAATAAATAAATTTAACACACAAAACACTAAAAAAAAGTCCTTTTGGGCGTAATGTGAAATCTGAAAACGTTCAGATTTGTTATTATGCTGTAAATTCATGTTGACAGGGTTAAAATATGCTGCTTGTCTTTAATTAAAAACTATTAATTAACTATTAATTTAATTAATAAACTATAATAATAAGTTAAAAACTATTAATAATAAGTTAAAAACTATTAATTTAATTAAAAACTAAAAAGTTTTATGTTTTTTTCGCAGTGTACCAGAAGTTTGTTTGAAGTATTGTTTCAAGAAATATAATTAACCTTTGCAACTCAAACAACTAAAATAAAATTCTTAAAACAAATCTAAAAATTTCAACTGTGATTAAAATATATAACATGAAACAAAAATATTTCCCAGAAAGAAAAACCAAGGCCTCTTTTCCGCACATTCAAAATGAAAGAGAAAGTGAAATAGGTTGCCATAAACTGAGAAGTAGAAAAAGTAACAACTGTGATTAAAATATATAACATAAAACAAAAATATTTCCCAGAAAGAAAAACCAAGGCCTCTTTTTCGCACATTCAAAATGAAAGGGAAAGTGAAATAGATTGCCATAAACTGAGAAGTAGAAAAAGACTGCCATACTAAATTTTCGTATTTGTCCTTAAATTTCTCACCAAAATGTTTCCAAATTTGGCATGGAGGCAAAATTTGAGTCGAAAGAAATATGAAAAAAAAAAGATCGACAGCGTCATTTCAGAAAAAAGTCCGATTTTATATCAAAATAGGTATTCTAGAATAACACTATATATAATTCTTAATATCTATCCTAAGTCGCACTTTCGAGACATGAAAAACGCAAGTTGAATTTCGTCAATCGGCCTAGTAGAACGGGAGATATAAACTGTCCTCTTTCCTTCCCCTCGCAGTGTACCAGAAATTCATTAATGACACATAAAACATAATCCTTTGATAAACAAAAATAATTCGATTTTATATTTTTTATTAATTTCTATATCTTATATTCACATATCATACTGTATAAATAACAGCGTTAACTAAAAAGAGAATAGGAATTTCAAATTCTGTTCTTCCCCTTAATCTTTTTAACATAAATATTACGGAAAATTCCTTTCTGTTAAATTTTAATGGAAAGGAATAACTTTCAACTGAATTTAATAATCTCTATTCAATTTTAGTGTGAAGGAGTAAAGGTTATTACATACTTCAAAGTAGTCCAGCATTTCAAATTTTCTATAAACCATTTATTAAATCTGAAGAAATATATCAGCATAAAGAGATTGTAACATCAATGAACATTTTTAATGACAGAGATTAACTTAAACATAGCTTCGTACAACAGAGAAAAGCGAAGAAGTAACAAAATTATACACTTAACATACATATGTAATAAAGAGTTACGTCATCATCGCTCGAATAAACGCGAACGGTGCATGCTTCAGGAGAAACGCTCTTAAGCTAAACGTCTTATTATAATTTATGATACAACAAAATCTAAAATACACAAGACAGTTCCTAAATCAGAAATATTCCATTCATAGTTTACAAATTAAAAATTACCTTTGATTATGATAAATCTTATCAATTTATATAAAATGCATGTAAAATTAAATCTAAAATTTGTAAAATACAATGTAAGGGCTTCCTTTAGTTAACTAATATTTTATTCAAATTTTGTTATCGTTCCTGAACTCCTCAACTTCCCCTCGCATTTCCTCGCCAGGATATAAATTTTAAATTAAGTGAGTATTTAAACGGCAGAATCCTTGAGTTTAGTCAGAGCGTGTGTTAGCTAGCCAGCGCACGTTTCGTTGCTGACACTGCTGTTACGCTAGTACGCCCTTTGGCCATTTCGGATAATTGTCACGCCTGTTAGGTTGAGTCAATCTAAGTTAGCCTTACTTTAACGTGCTAATCCAGCACTATTCTATTTAGACTTGAATTTGATTGTGTAATAATGCTAAGTTTCACTGCAAATAGTCGGTGTTATTGTAAAGCACGAAGTAAGTGCCTTTCTGTTAATAGATAGAATTAATGAAGGGTTATTTTCACCTTTCTTCGATGCTGGTATTTACTTCGCCTGTGGGAGGATTTGCCACGTTCATTGTAGGATCTAGTTTAGTTTATGTGGAAAAGAAGAAATAGATCTTACAACAGAAAAATAATACGTTTTACTGATATTGCTTTTTTCTTATAAACTGATTACAAAATCTTCAGCATGCTTTGAATATGTTTTCCGATAAATATTTTAGATTTCACTTATAAGCAGCGAAATTAGAGTTCATATTTATCATAAATAGCTAATAAAACTAACATTAATCTTCCAGCACGCGCGCTTGGCAATTTTGCATTGAGCACGGGCGCGTCGTATTTTTTACGACATCCGTTATTTTACGGTTTCTGATAAGGACCACGTGTTTCTCAGACTCCTGTGCCAATGCTTTATTTTTCTTCTTTTTTCCCCTTTCTAGTAATTTCGTTCTCCTGTAAGGAGGGACCTTTAGATGCCCTCGAAATCGATTGAGTGTTTTAACATATGTACCCTAAATACAAGGTTGTTATTGCGATTTTAATTGTCATATTGGCGTGTTTCTCTTCTATTCTAGTGAGCTTTATTTTTTAAATAAATTAGCGGAAGTGCTGGAGTAAAGAACGTTGCTCGACGCGCATGCGCAAATGAATAGCCAAACTTAGATTTGAACCTGTAAAGGTGCCGTCGTGACAAACTCAAACTGAACCATGCCATTTCCCATTGACGTTGCTTTGGCTTTTGAAGCTTTACTTCTCCTATTTAAGTTCTTTGGCTGGAGTGTGTTAAAATGTCACCGCTCGTTTTACAAAATAGAGGAATAACACAACCATCAACTGATCACTTCTCAAGATTTTCCGATGGTTCTTGCGAGGAAACAACTGATGATACGAAGTTGAAATTAGCTCGATGCAGTGCTTTATCGGCCTTACCTCTTGCCTTAAAATAAGCATAGTTCTGCACAAGCTCATACAGATGAGTCTAGATGTCGATTTACAATGTCATATTACCCTTTATTTTATTTTATCTGTTTGTTCGGCTTCATGAATTTATTTGACAAAATATGCTAAATGTAGCATGAAATAAAGTTGTGTTTCAACTTCTAGAATTTTACTGAGTAGATATTTGTCAATATTTCAAGCACAATCTAAAGATGGAGCAATAACTGTAGATTATGACTTCATGTACCGCATTTGTGAGTATCGTTATTATCATTCATTTTGTTTTATATTTATAATCTTCAATGGTGTCAAACCTTCTGTACCTAACACGGGTTTACTCCTATCGATTAATGCGTGTTAAGCGTTTGTAGCTGTCAATAAAAAAATAAGCAAACTTATATGTTTAATGTTTGACACATTTAATTTATAACCCAAAGATACAACAGTGGCCAATTGTTACGGAAAATAAACTTCAAAACGTCACTGAAAATTAGTTGCATACTGCGCTCCAGTCTGAAGAGTGGAGCGGCTTACTGATGTTGAGTTCTTTCGTTTAAAACGCAAATATGCTCCTCTTTTGCGCAAAAATTATTATCTAAAAATACCTTATAAAATCTATATTGGAAAAAATTAGATCATAATCTTTTAAAATCTAAAGCGAAAAATTAAAGTGCTAAAAGTAGATAGAATAATTTTTTTTAATTCATGAAAGAACTGCATGATTAGAATTTGAGATAGAAAAATTTCGTTTTAATTTGCTTACTCACATATATAATCACGTGTAAATACATATTTCATTTAAAATATTTAGCAAATTAAAACTTGGAAATGGGAGATCCTTTGAAACGCGTTAATTAGTTTATGACGAAGCACGTGAGAGCCATCTCTCTTCTTTGAAATATTTTCATAATCTCAATACTAAATTTGAATTGAAATTTTTCTATGCTTCTAAACTTCGCGTTTCCGAGTGGCTAAAGTAGCGAAACACTGACAGTTTCGTCCTGGTTTGATACCCTGGGAAACGGAGTGGTAAGCATCAGTGTTTCCAATATTTTTATAGGGCTAATTTTAAAACAATTTCCATTATTAAAAATTATAAAATCCGGCATAAAGTCATTCCTGTTAGAGAATATGTCCTATGAATCATTTAGATTAGTTGATCAATCAAACCACTCAATACTATATATTAGTAATAACCATTAAAAATGCTGCACATGAAGAAAGCAGTGAACCAACCTAAAATATGTGTGAAAGATAAAACATGCTGAGACATGCAAATGATTAACATTTCACGCTATGCACATATTACAGGCAAGAGTATTAGTTTTGAAGCAATATAGAAATTTAGACTGATTTTTCAAAAATCACGTTTACTCGTTCTTTTTTGTGTTAGAGGTCATGTTATTTGTTTCGTATCAGAAAAGAACTCAAAATAACACGTCTTAAAATTCGATTGCGGAAATGCGAATTATCGCGCAACGCAACTGTTGATACAGTGACTGTTTTGAGAATTTGCGATCGATAAATCCGGAAGCAACTTGTAGAATCTCGACACTCCCTACTCACCAATGCCCGAGACGATATATATTTTGTCCGCATCGCTGTTAGCGATCGCACAACAATATCACGTACCGTGGACCAGAAACTATGTATGTTGCATAGCACCAAGTATACGTATGTACGGTGCAACACATCTGCAGCCTCAGGTTGTCAGCAATGCAATCATTACTTCAGCTTTCTTTGACATTTACAGGGTTCAACGCCTACATTGACGACCAGGGACACATCAAAGGCACGACTTCATATTTTTTGTAGAACCCCGCTTTTGTTTACAATATCAAGACAGTCGTATCCATATGTGGAAGTAATCAAGAGAGTGAAAGTCTGAAGTTTGCATTCTTCATCGTCACCCAGCACCAGGATTGGTGACATGGGTACTAATGGATTCACATCTCGTTCGCTTCTAATCGGACTATCTGGTACTCTTTCTACCTACCGTTGCATTACTAAAGTTTAAATACCCTAGCTTTGCCATATCTTCGAAGCCTCTGTCTCTTCATCTTTCAACAGAACAATGCGAAATTACGTGCTGCCCATGTTATCATATATTTCCTCAATACACGTCGTATTCAACTCCTGCCTTGGGCCGTGATTTCTCCAAATCTTTCACCAATTGAAAACATATGATCAATATTTGCAGATGGGCTTTGGTATACAGCTGAAGCCTCATAGACTAAAGAATCCGTGCCAATCATGCAAAGTCTGTTAATCTCCATGTCCAACCTTATAACAGTCGTTAATTTTGTCAGAGGTGAATACTTGAGGTTTGATGTTCTGTACCTCAAATAATAACCTGAAATATCAACAGATTCATTCTTCTATTCATTCTATTCATTATATCTAATATATTTTTAAAATAAATTTAATTCTGCTAACTGGTTTCCTTCCTGGTGTAACAATTTTAATGAACAACTATATAGAAAGGATCTTGCGGAACTAATTTGCACTTCCTTTATTTAAACTGCAGAGGCTCTTATAAGCCTAAGATCACTGAATACTGGTATTTCTACTAGGGATCAAATCGCGAAGAAGGGGCTGGCTACGGGAATTTTTCGTGATTTTCCCCATGCATAAAGTAAGTACGAAAACGCTTCACTCAAAATATCCTAAATGTAGTTATCCATTCCTTTCAGCAGATGGGCCCACGCGTGCTTTGTCATTACCCAAGCCAACAGCAACTGCTGATTTGTATCTTATGACATTACTTGCTTCTTTATTACATTTCTCAATTACAGTTAATAATATTAAGTGTTTCCAAATTAAATAAACTTCAGTTCTGTTGATTTAATACTGAACTGTATCATAAAACGATACTTATATTTTCTCTGTTTTGAAGCAAATCGTTTAATATGAAATTTTATAAGGAAATTATAAAAGTACAAAACAAATTGTCACCACTCAATACCTTTATTGATGTTTTTAAAACTGTTCACTTTTTCAACCTTACTGCTATAAATTTATTACGAGTTATAATTTGAATAAATCAGAACAGGAAGCAAGCAATCATTTTGAATGTTTTAATATTCTGCCCTAAGCGTAACTAAATTATATAAAAATCTATGAATGTTAGTAGTGGTCACAATAGGCAGCTGCAAATGTATTTATAAAATCCAGTGGTAGACATTTCTAACAACGTTGTCCACAATATGTATTTATAACATATTCATAAATTAAACCAAAGAAAGTCTCAATTTCTAGCTTTCATTCCTTAAAAACCTGAAACAAATACGAAAATAATGTTTTAGGTATATAAATTAAAATTCAGCGTTACTTGGCTATAAATTTAGCTTACATCATCGAGCAAATTTACTCTTGCTACCCGCCTGATTGAAGTCACCGATTTGGTTCCCCTCTTTCTTTAAAGGCGCATTGGTCGCCAGCGAATTTTTATATATATATATATATATATATTTTTCGGGGGGGGATGAGACTTTTTTCTGTAGCTGAAACAATAATTGTTTCCCATAATCCTGCAGGGGGTGTTATTTTAACAAAGACAGAATTATGAAATCGCCGTTCCAAGAAGCCTCAGATATCATTACTCAAGATATTCAAAATTTCATACATCAGGACTACTAAGACTCACAATAAAAATGCAACAAGCAATCAAAGTTCTTGAAGTATGCAGGAATACCCAGTAGACCACAGTATAGTTTTAGTGAAGGTTCAAAGATTTTTATTCTGGGGTAAGACTTACATCAGTTACTATACACAGTAATCAGATAAGTTAACAAAATCAACAGTAGGCCTACTAATGTGCATTATTTTTAAGAATGACTCCCATACATTATTTGAGACGCATGAATAGTAATATTTTGGAGTTAATGGAGCTAATAAACAGGAAGCAATCTAAAATCTTATTTAGGCTGGTTGCACACTTACTCCTCATGTAACTGAAAATTAAATTTAAAATGAAAATTTGTTGTTATATTACAATTAATTCAAGGTCCATCTGATGATTTTTTAAAATTTCGTCATGCAAAACATATAAATAAACATACGCGTATACATAAGCTTTTTAAATTTTTCATAATCGTTTTGCATATTGTTACGTTTTTCTTTTTCCTTTCTGACACCAGTTGTTACGTTATTTTCTTCCTTTACGTTCGTACGGGGTTCGTGGGGATTTGGAGTGAATAACGACGACACTTGATGAAGTATCAAAACACACTTTACTTAGACAATACGCAATTAGGCAGCTCCAAAACACGTTTTACAGTCGTCGATGAACTACTATAAACACGCTGATACGATCAGCGACACAGCCTTCAGGTTATCAGGCTATCACGGTGGAGACAGCTTCCTGCAAAGCACCCGACTCTGCTTTTCGCTGTACAGCTCCCGACTCTGCTTGGTCGTTCTCAGAACTCCACGTACTCTCGAGACTCTCCACGCTACAACTCGCGATGCACTCGACGACACACAGAGCACAGCTCCTGACTCTCGGTTCAGTCGTTTCCGGAGCTCAACACACTCTCTCGACGATGCACTAAACGCGATGCTCTACGAGACTCTTTCGGTGCACTCGACGACCCACTCGCCACTCGCTGGCCGGCTGTCAACGCGATCGCCTCCGCAGGGATCGACTCGCTAGACGAGACACACTTACTCAATGAGAGACGCACACTTCCTGACTGCGGACCAGCAGGATTTATATAGCTTTCGGCTTGTGTTCGGGAACATTCTGGGCAAAACCGGTAAGAATTCGTTCCAGAAGTTTCTCCAACCGTCCATGGTATATCGCCGATTTTGTCTTCAAATGGGCGATTTCGCGCCAAATGTGGCAACCCTGTCCTCCTTTGCCATTTTATGGCAACCCTAAAACTGTACCCTAAAACTATCTCACCACTCCTGTACATTTCGTAACAATATCATGTCATACGAAACTTTAAAACAAAGTAGCATTCAAATATTTTTAATTATAAAATTCAATAGCCGAATGAAAATAAATGATTGGAATTTTTAACAAATTACATTTGCGCATCATTTGATGCAAACTCTGAAGCATGATAGTCATGTTATGCTCTTGCCTAGATTGCAGAATTCTGTGTTTTATGAATATAATTTTTTCTTGAATTAAGTCTCTTGTTTAAAGAACATATGATGAAAGTTTATTAATATATGTTTTTAAATGAACTTTACAAAAATTGTCTCAACCTCCATTACGAAACAGAAAAAAATATATTATTCAGACAGGGAAGATCGCCGGTCTATATTAGTCGTCCATTTTGTGATTCGAAGGCGAAGAGGATACTTTATACTTCAAATCTATGCTCCTTGTGCAATGATTGTGGGAGCTTCCTGGGTGTCCTTTTGGATCAACAGAAGTGATGCTGCTGGTCGTGTAGCTGTAGGTAAGGACTCTCACTTTTACTTTCTGTACTATACACTCATAACTATCATAATTTTGTAATTTACGCAGTATTGAAATGACTATTAATTTATGTACGTTCTTAAAGCGATTCCTTTTTATATGCTTATCAGCTTGATGTATTTAATGTGATCTATGTATCTTTTGTAAGAAGAATACCTGTTGAATACTAAGGAGGTGTTGAGGTGTTGCCTTATTCAATTCAGGACTTCAACAATTCAAGTGATTAAAGCACTTTAAGGCCCATTTACACTAGCGGAACTTTGAGCCTAAGAAACGCAGGCGAATTTGAAGACTCGTTTGAGAACTTTTTAACAGCAATTTTTTCGTATTATGAGGGAATATTTAACTCTTAAACTCTTGAATAATGTTATAAGTTAGGCTGTTTATTTAAATGTGTACATATTCAGTTTCAGTTAAAAAAAAAAAAAAAAAAAGAGTAACATTTTCGCCATTTAGTGAAGCTAGCAACTTCCGCGTGCATTTCCTAGGCTCAAAGTTCCGCTAGTGTAAATGGGCCTTAAGAGTGGCTATAGAAACCTCATGAAAATCTTCAACAAAACCGAAATAACAACTATATATAAAATTCAGCAGTTCTTTCATACAAGACGTAACTTATTTTACAAGTTGATGTAATAATATCTAAACATAACGAGAATTTTAAGAAATTATGTAGTGGTTATGGGGTTTTATGAAATATAATACAAACATTACATATGAAGGAATTATGCAATTCAAAACTTTCCAAAAATCATTAATTTGGAAGCTGATTTATGTGGTCGGCCAAGTCACAGTAGCGAAAGGCACCGTTTTCCAAAAGTCATAGAAGTCGTTAACGAATGTTTAAAAAGTAATATTCATACCCTTTGTGTTAAAATGGAATGCCCCTCCACCAAAATCTTCAGGTGACGTGGGCCTCCCACTTCCTAAATCCTCCAATATATTAATTTTGTTTTAATTTATTTGCGGTGTCCTTTACTTACAAAAGTTTGATACCTTTAGACAGATCATATGTGCGTGCGTAAAAATAATGATATTTAATTCGTTGTCATAACAGACATTTCGGCATAACTTATCAGGTTCTGTGTTCCTCCTTACTTGTTTTGGGAACATTAAATGTCCTGACTCGGAACAGGGAGCTTACTAAAGCTATGTTCAATAAATTTGGGAAGTAGACAATATCACAGGAAGGGTATACGAAACCCTTTATTTTTCTCTCTTTACAATGATTTCCGGACTTCGGAATACAGAGACCAACCACTTGTGGTCTGAACGTAAGAATATAAAAATATTAACTAAACTTAACTTTGGATTAATCAAACAAGTGCCTACTCCAAGATTGGCCGTATATTAGCAAAAAGCCGTATGTAGTACAGAGAACTGCTAACACTACGATACGTTTAAAATTATCAAGAGGATTAAACCTCTGGCCTTGAAGGCAACCAGCAACCGAGTAAAACTACTATGGCAAGCGGCCTGCTTCTAATAGCTCCTTCCTCTCTCTTGCTTGGCAAAAAGCCACAACTTAAGTACTTGGCGTTCGCAAGACAAATTTGCATAAATAAGTTAAAGCTTTTAATTCTGGCCGGAAGTAGAAAATAAGAAGTGATAGTAAAGATTTAAAATAAAATAAACGTTAGTAAAACTTAAGATCCTTACATACTTCCCGCCAGAGTTAATTAGTTTGAAACTGAGGTCTAAAACGACCTTGTTGAAAACTTTTAGCTCTAGAATCTAACGCGAGGCCAATCTTTTACAAACATTTCTCACTAGAAACTAGAAATTTAAAAAAAAAAAGTCGTTTTTACATTATCAACTCCATGGACAATTACTTTTCATCTGTACTGCATCTAAACAGGAGTTCTTAGTTGAAATCTGGTTCCTTCCAGAGATCTGGAAGGAAAACTAGTTTAATGAAATGTTACACAATTAAATGGCAAGTAACATGAATACTTATATTTCTCTTAACATTCTTATTTCATTCATGACGTTATTTAATTATCTCCCCGTGCTCTCTGACATGTGTTGTAAAGGAAAACACCAAACATGAACGTGTTTATGTACAAGTGTTCAACACTACCGCCTGCAATCAAAACACTAACGTGTTAAAATTCTCAACATAACAAGACCTCATAACACACCTTATATTCATCTCTAAACCGTGAGGTACTATTCTGAAAGTGGTTAACTCTGAAGTGTAGCGTCAGAGAGCCTAACTACATTCATTCAACCTTTAACACATATTCACAATAGTTTGCTCTTTTTACAGTCACACGAATAAGTTAAAATTTTTGGCATTACTTTCACTTTTAACCATATCACAGGTATTTCTTAACGTTTAAAATAACAGTTCACATTGTATATAAGGAACATATTAAACATGCCGTTAATTTTACGCATTTTTAAAACATACATTAGTAGTACATTGTTAACTTCTATTCTTTTCCAAGCAAGTGCCAATTCTTTTACATTGAAATACTACATTTCAAAAAGTCTTTCAGACTAAAACTTCTTTCTTGCCAGAATCTTTTAAATAAATTTTATACAATAACTTTTACAATATTTAAGTATTTACACATTCCTATTATATCAACTTTTAGTTTTACTCGCGAGTAATTGAAAAACATAATACCAAAATAGGTAACAACTCATTTCTCGCCTTTTTGGCGATAAAGGTAGGTAAAACGTTCTTGAATTCTGCCACTTGCAGTAAGAATGAAAGATTAACTTAAGTTTGCAAAAGTAACATAAAAGTTTTACTTATCTTTGTGATATTCGGACATCCTTTTTTCTGCCCAGTCCTGGAAGGTAGCGAAGATTACGGTTTGGTTTATCTTCCTTCTTGTGCGGGTTCGCCCTTCAGTTCCTTCCTCCATGAGCTTTCTTTTCCTTCCAGTTCGGTCACCCTTGAAGACCTTCATTTTTAGCCTCTGCCTGTGGTCTCGGCCGTTTGATGGCAGCTGGTCTTGGCGGAACCGGGACAACTCTCTCTCGTTCCTGCTTGGATCTCGTTGCTGGCTGTTCAAATTTTCCTTGTTTCTTTGCCTCCGCAGCTGGTGTTCCTTCATCAATTCGTCGACATTTGCTGCGTAGACTCCTGTCCGATGGGTAGATCTACCGTTTTGGAGCCGGGTTATAGTTGCCGTCATTTCTCCTGGCTCTCTTTGCATTCGTCGTACTTCTCCCTTCTTCATTCTGAGGGGTGGTCGTGCTCTCTCTTTTCTGGTCGGTGGAACGGCTTCTTTTTCTTGTTACCTTCAATTTTCCAACGGGGAAACTTTCTTTTCAATTGCTCCTGCCTCCTAATGGCTTGCCCTTGTGACTGTCGTTGTTCCACCTCTGGAGCTTGTGCCTGCAGTGCCTGCCGTGCCGGATCCTGCAAAAGATCTTTAAATATTTGCATTTTATTACGATTATAGAATGGTTTTATCTGGTCAATGTTTGCGGAGTATGTTTCACCATTCCTGGCTTTTAACACCACTACAGCCTGAGTTATTTTTTCTATGACATATGGTCCTTCAAATCGTGGAAAAAATTTGGCAGTTTTATCTTCTGGTGCTGAAGAAAGTGAATGCTTAATTTTTAACACTTCATCTCCTACTTTATAAGTTACTCCCCGTCGTTTCAATCATAATAAAGTTTCTGTTTTCTCTGTGCTACTTCAGTGTTCTTTTTTGCTTCTTTAATTAATTTTTCTATATCACCCCATTTTAAATTCTGGGGCTCTTTGTTGAACATAAAAATAATTTATCTAACGGCGTTATAATCTTTCTGCCTAAAAATAACTCAGCAGGAGTTTTGCCCGTTGTATCATGTTTTGCGGTCCTAAGGGCGAAAGCTAATTCATTGACATAGTTATCCCAGCTTTTATGAAAATTTTTAAACATAACTACGGATAATTTTCACTATACTTTCTATTGACCCGTTCCGCTATATTTGATTGCGGCCGATACGGGACCATTTTTAAATGACGTATGCCCAGTTTTTGGCACATGTCTTCAAATATATTACTTACAAATTGAGGACCATTATCCGATATAACTTTTAGGGGCGCCCCGTATTTTAAAATATATTTATTTAAAATAGAATCAGTAACTAATTTCGCGGAGGCTCGTTTTAAAAGGGAACAATTTCGGTCCACTTACTAAAATGATCAACCATAACAAGGAGATACCGACTTTTATTTAACTGACGTTTTTGGGAAAGGGCCCAATAAATCGATGCCAATTATTTCATTTGGAAATTCGGATTTAATACTATTTAGAAACCCGGCCGGGCGGAAATTAATATAATTAACTGCTTGACATGTTGGGCAGGACTGGACATACGCCCTTGTTAACTTTTGCAGTTCAGGAAAATAAACTGCTTCGCGTACGCGTTGGATGGTTTTTTCGAATACCAGCATGAGAAGCTAAAGGGCAGTCGTGTAACTCCTGCAGGATATTTAATCTAAACTAGCTGGGGATAACAGGTCGAAATTCGTTGTTGGAATTTGTAGTTTTTGTATAAAATAATAGACCATCTATTAGTTCGTAATGGGCCGCCCTATTTCTTATCGCCACAATATCTTGGTGGCTAAAATTTTCAGGATCCTTTAAATACTCATAAATGTTTTTAAATTCAGGATCTTACCCAGTTCGGTTATTACAGTTTCTCGGGAATTTATTGTACATGCTGTTAGCATTGCCACCTTTACAGTATTACCTTCTTCATCTATTTTTATTCTGGATAGGGCATCTGCTACGATATTTTCCTTTCCGGGGGTGTGCTTGATTACCAGATTATACTCTTGTAACTTGAGTGCCCATCTTATTAACCTTGGGGATAAGTTTTTCCCTGAGTACAATCTAGTTACCGCCGCCATGATCAGAATACACTGTTATTGGCGCCCTTCCAAAATAGACTCGGAACTTTTGCACTGCTAACAGAACTGCAAGTGCCTCTCTCTCAGGTCGCGGAATAATTTCTTTGTGTTTGATTTAT